ACATTTTAAACTACAATTTATTTCCAATGAAAATCCTTAATATTAGTAAAAAATAATGATAATATAAGATTGATATGTTTTCATATTCAAACTCACAAAATATTGATAACAGTTCACAGTTTGATAATATTGTATTGGGTCGCAAAATATTTTTAAAATTATAAAAAATAGTAGTAAATATGTATTTCATCAGTTGTATGAACCATATACAATTTACAATAAACATAAAAATTAAAAACCATAATAGTAAAAAATGTGATTAAAAATTGGTTCTTTTTTATATGTATTATAAAATAGAATTTATTGAAGAGAATTTTTTTCTTTAAAGCATATAATTCAATGGTTTGTGAGATGGTTGAAGACCTACTCTGAAATATATTATGTTCAGGTATAGGTATAGATATAATAGGTGAAGCTATCTATATATTATGTAACATAATTTATCCTATATGGTTAAACAAATATGTAACCCTCATTTTTATCATACATTTGTATAAATATTTTTATTTTGTTGGTTATTGTTCATATTTTCCTTTTTTTATGGCATTGTTTATTTTACTTTTTATTTCCGTTTTTTTACGAAAAGGAATTTTCCTGRTAGTTAAATAAAACTTAATTTATGAATGGCAATTTAATTGAGCAATAATACATTGTTTCTGTTGCAGTATAGCCAGTGCAATCAGTTATATAATATAGTATTTTATGAAAGTAGTTATTAGAATCAGAATATAATTTACGATGATTGTTGACATTACACAATGCAAGTGAAGATGTGTAAAACTCAATACAAGAAAACTACCTATAATGTTAACGTGAGTTCTAATTCTTGATTATTATATTGTGTATTGTAATAGTAAAACCACTAAAACATAATATATTTTAAATTTAACAGAATATTTAAAAAGTTAATTAAACCATATATTTTTATTCATACTTAGATAGCTTAGACAATTTTTTTACATTAAAATTACGTTTTCTATAGGTTTTCGTTGAAATTAGTATTTTTCACTGTTACTTTTTTTTTGTTTTTATACTGACACTTAATGAAAATATTCTATAYTTCTATAACGGTATAGGAATCTATTAAAAACAATTACTATGCATGTTGGATATAAATAATTATATAAGCAATAGTGATATAATATATGTTCATTACAAATTGTTTTACAGCAATTATTATTAAATGGCAATAAATTAAAAATGTAATGTACCTATAATCATAAAGTTTATGTATTCCAAGGATTAATTTTTGTTCATTAGCTAAGTAATATCAAGTAGCTTTATAAATATTATACTTACTGTACAGAATATATACAATTTATATAGGTATATTATATTCACAGTATATTTTAAAAGTTAGCTTAATAACTTACTTTTTACCAATACTGAATATAGTACGAATTATCACTATTAGGGTTATATAGAGCTGRCTATAGCCCAAGACATAGTATTAAATAAAATTAAAATTAGATCCCATTAGTTTTTAATTATATCTAAAAAATTAACATTTCATAAAAATGTACAGGTTCAATCAATATGAAATAATGCTAAGATATAAATTTTTAGTTAAATTGAGATTCATATTGGAAAATTTATATAGGGGCGTCATAAAAAGAAGTAGCTTTGGAACACCAAACGCATTTGGTACCGTGTATAGTATATGATTAGCTTGTATCAGTTTAGTATACCTGCCAATACTTATGTATGTAAAATTACAAACATAATATCAGCTAAGACTGTAGTTTCACATTGGCGAAACCAAATTGGTTATGAATTTAATGTATATATACATTATACTATCTAATACCAATATATATAAATATTAGTTGCAAGTCTTCGTGAAAGTCTAAAACATACTATAATGACCGTGGATGTGCCTAGTGTATAGTATATTTTGAAAATCTAATATATTACAATAACAYGACATGCGCCATTACGTATGTACGGTGGTCTATATATTATTATTATATTCTGTTAATACATGATCTCGGTATACTAGCTACTACTACCCAGGTATATACCTACCTTTATAAAATGTATACCATTATATTACACTGTATATACTCGAAGGCGCCTTAGGGTTATATACATATAAGTGTGTATAGGTGTTTTTATTTTTTATTACG